ATTTTTGGGTGAAACTAGTAACGAAAAATTCGACAATGCACTTTTCTTCAGCTGTTCTAGTATAGTTGAAAAATTAGATTAAATCAAGAACGTTTTATATTTTGTTAATGCATCTCCTTTTTTTAACCCTTAACGAAATTGTTCTTTTGAAAAATTAAGCCTCTGTTTTAAAACAGTATTAAATGATTGATATTTATTTCATGCATCTAACATCCTTCGCTGTGAAAATATCCACAAACGCAGTTTTAACCAAACCTTATGTTGTAACAGGTAAATCATACAAAATATTGCAGTAAATAGGTTCCAGTAAAACTAATAGCATGCAAACATGACATATTTTGGAGAATAAAATAAATTTAATGCCAACCTCAATTCGGGACAAAAGAGCATGCAACGCCAACGAAACAACTATGTAAAACACAGGTAAACATCGTTATCGTATAAGGTGATTTATTAATATAGAGGAAGAGCCATAATTAGGTGAACAAACGTTTACCATAAAAATAATAAGCAAAAGTCTGCTTAGCGAAAATTAGTTTGTTTCAAAACTAAGAGATGATCGTAGTTTATTGAAATGTATGGTAATTTTAATAAATTACAATTTATTCGGTTGGTGAAAATAATAAATTCTAATTTTATAGGTTCTACAGAGAACAATGGCAACTTTTTCTTAATTCTTAGCAATAATTGAAGTTTAATTTATATTATAATTGTATACTTTTTTAATGTTACATCTATATTTGAAATCAATACGATAACAGATTTCAAGCACTTATCTTATTTGAACTTAATATTCGTGCACCTAAGTCATGTTAACCCTAAAAATGATTAATAATTGATCAAGATCAACAACGCAAAAAGCGGTCAAATAAATTATGAAGCTCGTTTTAACTTCCGGTAAATAAAAATAGCTAAAAAATAAAAGTCGCTAGAGCTATCCTCTGACAAAGAGCAGTAAATTCAAGGAATCTACTTTTTGACCATTCGTAATAAACAAATGTAGATGCAAGTATAAAAGATATCGGAACGAACATAGAAACTTGATTAAGCATTATTAAGATGTTCTTATTTTAAAATAATGAAAAAAAGCGATTTCACAACAAAATCAATAGCATACGCTAACAAACACACTTGTCTCCTATGGTACTTGTCAGTAAAGACATTGAACATTAACCTTTCTAGAGCACATGTTTTTGTTTTTTATTTTTTATGCCTTTATTACTGCTTCTAAATTGGTGCGGGTTGCCTAATTCAAACAGGGCAAATATACGTTCGAAGTGGAGCCTTTAGACAGTTTGGAAAAGCAACGTTTGAGGCTTCCTGAACGGCATTTGAGGAAGTAATTGACTGAACAATGTGTTTCATTAAAGTTGTTAAACCCGAAATTAACAATAATGTCAATAGTAATTCTACTGAATGATGATATTTTAGGAATTAGAGGGTTAATTTTCCGTTCAGTGTACAAGCGAGGCAGTGAATTTCGGCTACATTTCGAATGAACGTAATGAATATCAATCAATTTGGACGGACTGAAATTGTTTTGTGTTTATTGTCGGAAATGTTTCATTTGGAATAGGTATTTTTGTTGTGCGTATCTACTAACATTCCACTTCATTAAGGGTTCATTAATTAGACTAGTTTTCACGTTTATCTTATTTATCAGCCCAAGATTATCTCCAATATGAAATGGTTTTTACACTTTACTGCCATCTTTTCGCAAAACTGTACGGACAAAACTACTTTTTACTTTAAAATTTAAAATTTTTTGAGATTGTATCTCAACAGAATTCAAAACATCGCCTAATCTGCACAAACTTTTACGCGGGCATCTCTACAGAAATAATGAGGCCCTTAGCATAAAACACAGTTCGGTGTTTTTCAACTCTATCACGTCCCTCACAGCCACTGAAGAACTACTTACTTCACAATAAGACGTGTCTTATCTCGGTTTCAACCAAAAGCAATCAGGTGTTTAGGTTTTATCTGTTTCATTAGGGTTTTAAAGGGCCCATCATGTTTACACGCTAATTTATGACGAAAATATACAGGGTGTACTACTTTATACAGTATCAAGCGGGACATCCCAGGTATTTAATGAACGGATTATTTTATATATCTGAAAGCTATATTCAGCCAAATCATTTTAGAGACTATTCGAACTAATCACAATTTATTCAGAGCGAAAACTTATTTCGAGAACTTTCCAAGATAATGGTTATTTTTTTAACTGCCAAATAATTACTAATATATTCCGTTCCACTTTATTGAAATATTCCGAAGTCGTTGGACTCAGAAACATACATTTGGCGCTCATTGCTGATGATTACTAATTTATCTCAATCAATCCGAATTACCGATCAGGAAACTGATCCGATTAAAACATTGAAAACATGTAAAGTAAGATAGATGTCCACCGCCCATCAGACTGATCAACCTAATAGTATTCGGTTGAGTTTGACGTTGAAAATATCACCAAGCTTATTCATAAAGTTAGTAAGTAAAATCTAGGAATATAAAATAATATGCGTTAGGAAATTGCCTCAGGTAAGGTCTCTGCGAAGTCGATTGTTGCAACGTAAAAATTGAGATGCGATCAATTTACGGTGAAACAAATCTGAAAATCTCTCAAAAATTGGCGTTGGTCCAACTGCCTACCGCATTTGTCTCGTCTAACATGATTGTCTCATTTTGTCTTTTCTTATTAAACTTGAAATTTTATAACTTTGAAGTAAATTATACTGTTAAATGCCATGAAGTGTTTTATACTTTTTCAATAGACTTCTCATAGACTTTACCTGTAAAATGACTTGAATAACAGCTAAACCACGGCCTAAGAAAAAGCAATATCACACCGAGAAAAGAATAACGCGAGTGATGTTGATGAATATAAATAACATTTTTGAAATTTAAACAAAATTAAAGCAAAGTGAGATTTATATGACATACTTAATATTTCAGGCTGAGCACAGTATTCCATAACACCTTCACTGGTCGAATCTTTTAATGTCCTCAAAAATCAGAAGCTTGCAACGAATATTGGTAAAAAAAGGTCCTGTAGAAAAATGACGAACAATAAAAATAAGCCAATGCCAATAAGCGTTATCGTATGAAATAATATCAAAGTTACAATATGAATTTACACGACAGAGACATTAGAAATCTCAGACACTTGAGAAGAGTGAGTAGAAGCCCAATTCCATATGGAAGTACTGAAAGTTATCTCATAAAAAGGTAATAAATGTAAAATGAAATAAATAACATAAATCAAGGCTAATGTCGAATCCGAAAGATAGTTAGTTGATGCAACTTTTGTCGTCAAAGAAATGATAAGATCAGACGTTAAAATCATGGGCATCAGCGAAACACACTGGCCAAACATACAGGCTCAAGTTAAGTCCAGAAACACAAATTATGTGTTCACATCATACACACATCATCACTGTGGAAACAAAACCCCAACTCACAGATATGTGTGAAGAAGACGGAATGAACGACAGACGAGATCCTGACCCTAATCTCTTAAACGAATACTCAAAAATAAAAATATGGCAGAATATCGTTCAGTACACACGACAATAAGGAAGGAAATCAAAACTACAAATTAGGAATGGCTGGCAGAGAAATTTAACGAGATTAAGCAAGTAGGCAGAATGCATGGTCATTTAAATATACACAGAAAGATAAAGGAAATGACACATACCGGGAAGAAAACCACCCAAGGAACTCTGCTAGACTCAGATGGTAAACTTTTAACAGAGATGACAAATAAGCTAAAGACGTGGAAAGAATACGTTCAAACAGCATTCTCAGATAATAGACCAGAACATTATAATTTTGACGAATCTGAACCATGCCGACGCATAACAAAAGGTGAAATAGAGAGAACTATCCACAATATGTAAAACAATAAATCGCCTGAACCTGAAGAAGAAGACTTGAAGTTCCGATAGAACTGATGAAAATATAATGCGACCGTAATACGGATTTCCTCAAATATCTGGAAGAAATCTTCAATCTCATCTATGACACAGGAAAAACACCTACTCACATCGTCAAGGTGTTCTCCAAGATCATTCACAGCAGAATATACAGGAAATGTGATTTATACTCCAGCGAATCTCAATTTGGCTTTAGAAGTGCCCTGGGAACTAGAGAGGCAATTTTTTTTATCACAAGTTCTAGTGCAACGCTGTAGAGACATAAATCGCGATGTGTACGTATGTTTTATAGATTTTTCGAAAGCTTTTGACCGAGTAAAACACAAGGTTGGTCGTCGAAATAATGAGGGAAGTAGGCCTTGACAATAAAGATATACGAATTATAGCGAATTTATTTTGGAACCAATCAGCATACGTAAACATAGGCGGCAGCAAAACAGAAGAAGTGGCGATTAAAAGTGGTGTCAGTATACGTCAGGGGTGCGTCCTAATGCCGCCCTTATTTAACATCTACCCTGAAAAGATTTTTCGATAGGCACGGGCAGGCTCTCCCGTAGGGACTAAAATGAACGGAAAAAACATAAACAACATCAGAGGATCTTCAAATTTTTCTTGAGAAAATTAATCCAACGAGCGATGAATATGGACTTAGCCTCAACCCCTCTAAGACAAAATCTATTACATCAGCAAAACGCCCAGCCCCTTATAGCTTTGACTTTAAATCAAGAAACTATAAAACGAATGGAAAATACAAACTAACATCAGTCGTAGAAATTGGATGCAGAACGAGAAGTCAAACACTATATTCAATAAAATTAATTTTTTGTCAGCAGAAAAAGAATATCCGTGTTATCGCCAACATTCGCAGAGAATAAGGCACCCGAAGAAAGAAGAAGGAAAACATTCCGAAAGGCAGAAGAGTTCGAGCTACCACCGACTCAATAGCGTAAGACCCTGTATATGATTTCGCAAAAACGAAATTTACTACTTAAAAGTAATAAGTTGCAAAAATGATAAATAAACTTTAATACTATTCGAATGTAGAAAATTACATTGAACAAATATTTACTACAAGATAAGATTATTCCTATGATTAACAAAATGATAAGCAAGGTGGAACGTCTAACACAATAAATATTTTCAGTCGATAATTAGTTTTGTGACAAAAGTATTGTGGCGATCTTCAGTTTTGAGGTGAAACTATGAGAATGAGGTAAGACTTATCCAAACGTTCGTTGTATTGCAAACAATAGCTATAGTGAATATTTGCGCAACATTATCTGCTACACGTAGATAGTGGGATAAGGTAAATGGGTCAAGTCAGTACACATTACTTTCATTTGATGCAAAGGCAAAAGCAGGAAACTAAAATTAACTTGCAATTTCAAATTTTGAATCTTCCGTACAGACATTAGTTTTGGATAGTGCTAAACTAGCTAAAGCTCTACTCAATAAAATTAAACTACGAAAATTCGTTGTGGGTAAATTGCACTAATGCTAAACGTGATGACTAACTGATAATAAAAGGAGACATAATGTTCAATTGATAACATTGTGGATATTATGAGAAATCAGCAGTATACAGAGTAATTTACCTTTTTAAAAATGAGAATATTCGATTAAAGCGTAAATGAAACCTAAATTTTATTGAGGCTTAAACTCGTCGATTCATACACTCAGTAAACAAATAAATGTTGACTTTGAGTTGAAAGGACTTAAATTGCGTGCCTATTACTCACATTGGCAGATTCTCGGAAAATGCTCAATCAGATTAATGCTTATTCCATCATCATAAAATGATCATGACTATTGATTTGCAGGCTAGCGCTACTGGTATTCCTGCTACCATGTCTCATTGAAGCCGACAAACTACCTTTATGTAGTGATAACTGTAGCTGTATTTTTGTCAACGATACATTGGTGTCAAGAGTAACATGCACAAAAGACGTTAAGGATCTGGTAATGTCGAATTCCACATGGATAAATCCTGCCACAAACAAACCGTATCCATATCTGGCAATAACGTTGACCAATCAAAACTTTATCGAGCTGAATTTTACGTTTCCGGATAGCGATGTTACCTATCTTAATTTGGCAAACAACGATATTTATCGAATTCGTGGAGGAGTTTTTCAAGATTTACAAAGCATGGAGGTGTTGATTTTGAGTAGCAATGACTTGGAACTGCTCTCCCCAGATGCATTCAGGGTAGCACTTTTAGAGACGTCAATTAGGCAATATGAAAATTAACTAACATGTTCTTCCATTCAGGGAAAATACATGCCCGAACGATATGAGCCCCTAAAATCTTTGGTTGAACTGAGATTAGACCATAACAGACTGCACAGTTTGAATATGGACATATTTGAGCACACCACTGATCTGGAAATATTGGACTTGAGTTACAACCCTTTCAAGGTTTTGGATCCACACACTATTATGGCTATTGATAGTCTGCCACAATTGAAGGTAAGTAAAACATGTGCCACCATCATCATCAAAAACGATCTAAATTGGTGAATTAATAAATATATAAATGATCAACTACTCAAAAGTTCAGTTCAGTTCATTCAAATTTATGACTATAGTTATGTGTTTGTGACTCTTTCAAAGATATCACGCGTTTACAACTGAAAAGATGCCAAGCCAAACTCCACAAGTCCGCCTAATCCAGAATTGCACAAAAGACTAAGAAATTACAACGTAAAAAAGCCATATATATATAAAGCCATATTCTGTCCAGTTTTGACCATGCAGGATACATAATAGTCCATCTACGTTTTTTTTTAGCAACCCTAACTGGATGAATGAGAGGAATTTCCGTAAGAGGAATCTTAATAATTTTTTGCCAATTTTAATCTCTGTTGAGCAGATGTCGCTTTGTAAGACTCAAAATGAAAAAAAATTGTTGGCCCTCACAGAATCGATTACATGACCCTTTTTTGAAACTCCTTTCTCATTAAAAAAATTTTGCGTTTTGCTAATTTTAAACTTCTCATTTCCTTCTTTCCTGGCTTTACAACTCTGGATGAGTGTTAGCCTTACCTACTATTGCTCTCCATCTCCTACCGCTGGACCCACTTCCTAGATAGATCTGCTGCGACAGCATCCTTCCATCTTTTTCTTGGTCTACCTATTGATCTTCTGCCATCTGGTCTCTCAAAGAAACCTGTTGTCGTCTGATCTTACTACATGACCTGCCCATTTTGCTAGCTTTTATCTGCCTGACTATGTTTTCACTGCCAGACGTTGGCGCCAATTTAGCATTGGGGAGTCTCTTCCACACTCCTGTTATTTCACCTCTGTTGTGAGGACGCTTCTTTCAAACACAGGAAGCTTGTTGAGGGTCCCATTGATTGAGGGTCCATGTTTCGCTGACATCATTAACTATCGCGCCAATTATTGAGCTGGACAAAGTTAGTTTGGATTGTCTCTTCACCAGCTTAGATTTCAATATTGTTGTGAGAGAGTGTAACGCCCTATTTCTCCCAGTATTTGTTCTGAGGCATCTTTTTCTACTCGATTGTCATTCGTGATTACCGCTCCCAGGTACTTAAATTCCTTAACCACCTCGAAGGGTCATATTGTGCCCAATTCGAGACCTTGGTTTCTTTGTAACTGCCATGTATTTTGTTTTTTCTTCGTTTACTCGTAAGTCCAGATTAGCTGCTTCTTCCTCCAGATGCGAAAAAATATCTCGTATGTCTCTTGTTGAATTAGCCATTGTATCTATGTCATCAGCAAAGGCCAACAGCAGTTTTGAGCCTTGATGAGCAAAACGTTCTGTTAGCTCCGACTTTATTCTGCTAACTGCTTATTCCAAAGCACAATTAAAAATTAAATAACAAAGGTGACAGTGGATCTCTTTGTTTAACTTCTGATGTTAGACCGAATGGCGTTGATGTTATATTTCCTACCCTTACCTGCGCATCTGAGTTTGTTACCCACCTTTCTGTTAGCTCCACTCCACACTAGTTTTCTTGGTATGCCCATCTTCAACGATGCCAGCCATAACATGTTTCTTTTTATGGAGTCACATGCTTGCTGTAAATTCACGAAGATTTGGTGAGCATCCCTATAAAACTTCTTCTATTCTAATGTTTGAATGATCGAAAATATTTGATCTATCGTTGACCTTCCAGCACCAAACCAGCACGAATCACGTCAGCCTTCTTAGTATTATAATTGCTAGGACTTTATATGTTGTGTTGATAACTGATATACCACTATAATTTAGAAATTGTTTAATCTTTCCTTTCTTACGTATAATAAGCTTCCGTTCCACCCTGTTATTCCCATATTTTTTTGCATCATTTTATATATTCTTTGGTGCAAAACGTTTCCTCTTTTTTTAGCAGTTCTCCATTTATACCAGCGTTGCCTGGCGCTTTGTGGTCGTTGAGAGATGTTATAGCATTTTTAACATCTTGAGGTGTTGGTGTTGGTACTCTGGTTTGTATGTAATGTTTTTGTCCTCTGTCGCCCTCCTGATATTTAATAACTCCTGAAAGTACTCCTTTCTTACTCGCTTTACTTCCCTGTAGCATTTCCGTACTTGATTCACATCTTCATTTCTGTCTATTTCCCGTATTTGATGTTGCAGATAGTCGTTCTTTCTTGTTCTAAGCAATCGTCTTGTTGCCGATTCTTCCCTATTCTCATCTATAGGGCTTGCTAGGATTATCAGTCGTTTTTTAGTTTTCATCTCTAGCGCTTACTCGCATGCTCTGTCAAACCACTGCCCTTTTGGGAGTTTCTTCCTTCATCCAATGGTTTCTGTCGCTGGTTATTCAATCATTGTTGTTATTTGCTTCGTAGCTCCTCCAGCTCTATGCCCTCGTGTCTTAGACAGACAAATTTGTTACTTATGGCTATTTGATAGTCAACTTCCTTATTCGGTGTTTGAAAAGCTTCCAAGTCCCATGCTGCCCTTCGCTCATTCAGCTAATTTTATATAGGTTTTGCAAACAGCAACTGCAACTGCTTTCAAACTTCAATGTTTTTCGTGATATGGGGATTTGCTTGGAACACGAATTTTTCCAACGATGTTTTACAGGGATGTGCGGAAATTTGCTTTATCTTGTAGGGTTGATACAATGCAAATAATCGATAAGATTAAGGATCAACCATTAACTCCAATTTATAAATGTTGTGGCTTGTGTGGCTTTGCTTGGCGCCTTATCAACTTTCGTTACAGTCCAATGGCGCACGAATTTATGAGTTCGGTATTTCAAATTTTGTGACGACGGTTTATTTAGGTGAGAAAATAAACAAGGTGATAAAATAAATAATAAGTGCACGTCAAGTAAAGTACAAAAAACTTATGACTCATCATTCAAAAGAGAAAAAGATATGTAGGGGGCCGCGTACATGTGAGAGCAAAACCAAAATCAAATTTAAGTTTCTAACGTTACAAGAGCCTCAATACCAAATTTTAGCCAAATGCGAATATAATTTCAAAAATTACATAGAAAATGTTTTAATTAATATCTTAACACTGCAGCTCGTTTAGAAAGGACTTGAGTACCCATACCTCCTGCCTTTTCATCTTAAAAATACCTAAGAAATCGGCCTATAAAATATTGAACATTTATTAAGAAACACCCTTTACAAATTCCCTGCTGTTACTTAAATTTTGACTCTTTATAATTTAAATTAGGCCTGGGTAACACCGTGTTGAGTTGCACTATTGAGTTATTGCCGCTCTATGAGTTAACGAGTTATAACTCATCGGTTAATGAGTTATAAGTCATTTATTAAAGCAGAGTAAAGCTTTTCGAGACCTCAAACCGAAATTTGAACATCTAAAAAAAGGCCATCAAATTTTTTTATGAGAAACGTTTTACTACTTTGTCCAAACAGCCATAAAAAAGGGCATCTAGATTTTCTCAGCAACAGAACTTAGTCCAAAGAAAATAGACGAGTTTTCTTGTAAAATCGATAAATTTATTGCATAAAAGATTCAGTTTGCCAATATTTTAAAGTAAACCGTTACGAAAAACGCGGTTTTCTGTTTAGAGAAGGTTTTGTTGAGAAATATTGACCTAAAAGTGAAGAAACCCCAGTTTCCAAGAGTTTTCCAAATAAATGATTATATGCTTTCGTTTATTTCTGTTCGGGGAAATATTTTTGGAAAAAAACCCAGAAAAAATTATTAGGGTTTGGTCCAAAATTCGAAGCTACAAAAGGTTTTCCAAAAATGTTTGCAAAGCGGTTAAGGAGAAGAGTGTTCCAATCAAATGTGTCTTATAATTTTTCAAATACCTGAAGATTGTCAGTAATTTTAAGTAAAATTAAAGATAATGCGTTTTTTGCAATAGAAATAATTACTTAATCAAAACTTTAATAAAACTGAAAAGACCTGAAATTTTAAAGCAACTTTAACAATCTTTATAGCGATCAGCGGCGAAGTTTCCAAATACTTTTTTGCAAACTTTTGCTCTGGTCGTATTTTCAAGATAATCTTAATCACTTTCGGTCAAAAACTGAATAAAATTATTTGGTTTTTGTGCCAAATTTTAAGCTGAAAAGGATTTTCTACGGTTCTCTGCAAAGCCATGAATGAGGCGAATGTTCTTACAAAATTAATTTTATCATTTTTGACTGAAAGGACCCCATTATGCTCAAAAAAGAAGAAAATCATCAGAAAATGTTTCTTTGCACTTTTGATTTAACACTTAGTTTTGTGATCGGTTTTTGAGAAAACCTTAATGACATGCTAGGAAAAACGCCAAATAAATAAATTTTTGTAAAATTCCTACGAAGCTATAAATTTATCTTGTAATTTTTTGCGTAAAAGACCTCCAGATTGTCAGTATTTTTAAGTGAAACTGTACAAAATAGAACGTTTTTGAGTAGAAAGTTATTGGAAA